TTTTATTTGCCATGAGTGCTATATGCCTTGCCCATCTCATTCTCCTTGACTCCTCCCAGAAGTAACCAAAATCTCATGTTTGTTGTGCGACTTCTCCAGGAAGTTCATAAGTGCAGGCAACACAGTGGGTGTAATGCCTCTCAGTTGGCATGTTCTGTCAATTAAACCTCTCTTCAGGTGTGAATTAAGATTTCTGGCTGTATATATGTCAGATGTTTCCAGAAAAAATTAATTTTAGTCCATGTCGGTTGAACTCCCATCGAACTGTCTCATAGTTCTCGAAAGTTCTTCATCTTATAATGTTTAAGAAGTAACTGCATGGAAACTGAGTCCTTCTTGAGAATCCGCTAGTTCAGCTTCTGAAGAAGTTCCCAGCATTTTACGGAACGGAAGTTTCATTATATGTGTTCACAAGAGCCCTCCACTGGTCCCTATCCCGAGCCAGATCAATCCAGTCCATACTACCCCATCCTATATATCTAAAATAAAGTTTAATATTATCGTCTCACTTACGTCTAGGGTGCCATGTTACCAAGGCATGACGCGACGTCGGGTTGCGGAGGGAGGGGGCCGTCTCCAGATGTAGAGGGCTACTACGAACATATTGAATATGCAGTCGCGGACGGCAGACATTGAGTGGTACTCCAGCTTGGGGGTTGGGCGTGAAGCTAACATTCCTCATCGTAAAAAATAATGTTAGAAAATATATGTTACATAAGAAAATTATATAATATAAATATAGTAAAATAATACTGCATTTTATGAAAGGTCAATTAATTCTGCCCATTGTGACCGATGGAGTTTTTTCTCCTTTTTAATATTTCACCTTTAACATGTTTTGGTCTTATACACCGTCTTTAGGAGGATACCGATACAGTTAGAAACCACCATTAAAATTGTTTTCTGAATATTAATATACTATATACGTATATACAATGTTATCATAATACAATGAATACAAAATCTAATGTTTTAACAACTACAGCGGCTTGTACTAACACGTTAAAATATTTATAAATTACAATTAGTAGATTTAAAAATATTTTGTTAACATTTTTAAACCAAGGTAGTTAGTGTCCGTTTTATTTCTTCTCTTCGAAGGAAGCCAAGCGTCTACCGCCTTGTGGTTCTGTTGTTTGAAGAGTAGGATTCCTCAGTGTCGACCTGTGATGTTAAAATATTAAATATTAAAAAGGAGAAATAAGCTCCATCAGTCACACTGGACTGAATTAATTAACCTTTCATAATATTGTTAATGTGACGGACCAGGATGAAACAAATCAATACGGCATTTCTTTAAATTTCTAATTTATTTGAACATTTCTTTGTTCGTTCTGGAATATACGACAATGTGAGGAAAAGTAACTTACGACTCTCTGCAGTGCAATACATTTACAGTTGATTGACTTTGCCAACAGCAAAATTAATGAATCTATGCAGTGTAGTCTATCCCTTGGATTCGCTCTTTCAACAGTTCATTTGTATCTGTCAACACCCGTTTTCCTCGGTTTGAACATTTAGAAAGATAAATCTTAGGGGCATGTAAATCTGCTCCCTTCGACACACAGCGGTTAGTCTCAAGAGTCTGAAATGTATTTGTAAATTGATACGAAGTGAAGTCCTACTTGAGAATCCAGTAATTTCTCAGCGTTGTATGGAATCCGAAGGATCGCTAATGCCATGTTCACATGATTGTATCATTGATTTCTAATCCTAGCCAAATGAATCTACTAAATTATCCTATTTCCTTAAGGTAACATTCTTACGGTATGGTCCTCCCATCTACTTCCCACCTCTGGAGTTGGTTTTTTTTGTTATTATGTGTATTTGTGATTACGTTGGGCCAAATATACACAAACGGAAATGATTATACAAAAGAATTTTCACAGAAACTCAAATCAAAGAATTCATCGTATGAATGAACATCACTGTGACTTTCTCAGCATTCGAATGTTAAGGACTGTTACAGCTCCTAGCATTTGTCTATGTTGCTGTTTCAGTGAACATTTCTTACTCGCTGGAAACATGCAAGCTTTACAAATTTTGTGTCTATACATCCCATTCCATTTTGTCACAGTTTTCATAAAACAAGATTATGAAATTTTAACCAATGTTTCTCACCTTTTCTTTATGCAAATTGTTACAGTATGAAGTCTGCGCAAATTATCGAGGTAGAACCATCATTGTACCGTTCTGAAATGTTATAAGATAAAGCATGAACATTTTTCTAAAATAATTTTGATGAAATACGTTAAGCACCTGAATGACTTCAAGTGAATAGCATAGCTTGGTTTTAAATTCAGTTGCGGAGCCATGATGACTCAGTCACTTGATTGGCTACGAATTGTAAGACTGGGGTTCTGTCCCTGGTGTGCATGTTGTTTTCTCTCTTCCTTGTAATGTTAGATGATCCCAACCAGCCTCCAATTTAGTAGGCAGGTACCGGGGATATTTCCCTGGTATAAAGAGGCCGAAGCGTGAAATTGATCACTCACCTTAAATTAATTTCGAGGTCTCGAATGTTACAAGCTTCACCACAAAAGTCCCTATGTGCCTTCAGTTTATTTTGCTTTTTCATAAAGGCAACTTTATTTTGCCTTTCATTTTCATTTTAAAATTGCCCAGAATGTCATATGAACTGTTTTTGCTTGAGCTTCTTAAAAATTTTATTCCTTTGTATTTTTTGTTCGTTACATCTGGGAATTCCCGGGCACAGGAATATTAAGCTTGGTACAATTTGTTTGAAATTTAATCACAGTGATACATTGGGATCTATTAATTTTGTAACATTAACTGGTTCTCTGTTCAAAATTTCCCTTGTATTTCATTGTTTTTTGACATAAACGACACTTTATTTTATCTTTCAGTGTCATTCTACAAGTACTAAGTTCTTCATATTGTGGCGTATTTGATCCATGCAAAAACGGTTGAGCCACAGAAACAACCGTTGATAAGTAAAATACGCAGGCAACAATAAAACAACGGGGTTATGCAACGGCTCGGTAAACACACTTCCATGTAGGCGGTGACGTCACACAATACAACAGTGTTTTATTTGTGTCCGTGCAGCCTACGCACAACAGTTCTTAGCCATTACGTGACTTGTGTTTTATCTGTGATCTGCAGTAGAACTGTGTTTTTTGCTTCGTCCGTGCCGCGGCCATATATCACAAGTCTGCTTGCAGCTGAGAAGAGTTTTTAGTTGATTTCCGAGGTTCCATTGTGACTGAACAAAAAATGTCAAGAAGACTTCATAGTGATCTGAAGTGCTAGTTTCTGTGTGGAGATCCGTTGCCAGGAGACGACTAGAAATAGACGCAGAACCCTAGTGCGTGTGGGACGGTGAGCGGAAATTGTGTGGAATGGCGTAACTTTGTGGTTTGGAGCGATTGGGAGAACTTGTAGCTGATGTCCTGGTGATTCAAATCGTGCGATCTGGAACCCGTTACTTTCGTCACTAGTACCCCCCATACACGTGACAATATGAACTTTTTTTTTTGTTAGTAAATCTTTTACAACTATATCCCCTTGATAGAAAAACACTCCTCACCAAATATAATAATCAAGTCAAGGAGGATAGGAGTTGCAAAACATATAGAACGCATAGAAAGGGATAGGAATGCATACGGGGTTTAGATGAGAAACACAGCAGGGGAGATGCCGCTATGAAGACCTAGACGGGAGAATAATAAATGGCTTTTAGAGAAATAAGATGGGATATGGAGGACATTTTTCTGGTTCAGGACAGCTACTAGTGGCGGGCCCTTGTGAACACGGTAATGAACTATCGAGTTCCACGATTTTCTTTTAATTAGTCAGAAGTTGGGAGACTGTTTCTCAAGGAGGACTCGGCTCCATGGATTTTATTTGCACTGTTCACGCAGTTCTCATAAACGTTCAAATTTCTGCGCGGTTATTGATATACTGTCATGTTTCATGTCATTATTTTTGCTACGGTTATAAAATGTGTTTATAACATGATCTTCTAACGTCATATCTTATAATTCCCAGACACAGGAAAAAGTAAAGTTGTCCCTGTGCTTAATTAAATACTGTAGCATGAAGACATATTGAGGGAGTGGAGATATAGCTCCATCATTCTGCACATCGGCACTAGATGGAGGTGTGTGATCAACTTTATTCCCTGTCCGCTTTATCCTCAGGGATATCGCACCCCGACACCCATGGGATAAGAGACTGGGTGGGCCTCAGGTTTGGCCTGAACGCTGTGGAGAATAGAATAACTTTCCATGCCGGGAATCGAACTAGGGCGGTTCAGCCTGTAGCCCGTTGCTGTACCTACTGAGCTATCCCGACTCCCAACAGAGCGGGTATGCTCGGTAAAATTAGTATGGGAATCGATCGCAGTAATACATTAAGTATACTAATTTCATAGTATTGCCAAGTTCTCTGCTCAGAACTCCTCTTCCATACAAGCTATCTCACGCCAGGTATGCAGCTACTCAAGAACTTCCCAGTATTTTATGGAACCTTAGGGTTTATTACCGTGTTCACAAGAGCCCTCCACTGGTCCCTATCCTGAGCCACACAAGTCCAACCCATGCCATCCAATAATATCACTCTGAGATCCATTTTAATATTGTCCACCCACCTACGCTTTGGTCTTCCCAGTGGTCTTCTTCCTTCCGGCCTTCCCACCAATATCCTATATGCATATCTCCTCTCCCCAATTGTGCAGGCTGTCTTATGACTGAAATTCATTTCAGCTCGAGAACCACTTTACCTAGCACGGCAAATATAAACATATCGCTATCTTTTATTCTGGAAGTACCCACTTCGAATCTCGATTGATACATCATGCCTCGTGACAGTTCCCTCGAACCCCTGACAATACATCGCCAGTTATTGCTAAGTTTCTTTGTGTTGCCATAAATTCCTCCAGTGAGTGCCCCAAATAGGGGCCGCTTCCTCACCAATCCTTTCCTCCACATCATGCCATATCATTCTGCGCTGAACTGTGTTTGTGTGTGTGTGTGCAGGCCGTTCGCACAACAAGTCCTTCGTGCTGTTCCGCCTGGGTACGCGAGCGTCGAATGGCGTCAAGACGTTCGCGGAGACTGGACGCACTGACGTCCTGGAAGAGCAGACGCAGGGTGAGGGCGGCGTCTATGATGAGTTCAACGCGCCTCCCATCGGCATTGGCGCCGGGCGCACAGAGGCAGAGTTCTTCGTGGACGGGAACCATTCCAGGGTATGGCAACTTTTTTCCTAATGCTGAGTAAGGCGGCCCATACACGTACGAGTCTGGCTCGCGAGTCCGGCTCGGCGAGCTTGACTCGGGAGCCAGGCTCGGATTAATTTCACCACACACACATGAGCATGACGACCCACACACGGACGAGTTTGGCTCATTGGAACCCGAGCCGAGTCGGACTCGCGAGCAAGACTCGTAAGTGTATGAAATGTAAGCTCTGTTTCCAGATGCGTTCTTCGGAGTCCTGTGTTTCTGTAGGTAGGTGTGGCGTGTTGGCGTTCATTTGCTGTAATTACAGACCTGCGTCAGTCAACATCTGCAGATTATAGTCTTCTAATATGTGACACTCTGTATCTATTTAATTATTTATGTATACATTTGTAGCGTGTTTAACAAAAATTAAATAAATCGGACTATATAGAGCCTAATGATTATATAAGTGGGTAGCATTGAGTAATGAACTGGGAAGGATGTGGAAGGAAACGGTCATGTCTTAATTTTAGGGTGCTTCACCCAAATCTGTTCTGGAAGACCTGAGATGAAGCACGCAGAACATCAGTCAGGCCTACGTTCGACTCGGTCACCTTCCAAATATCAGAAGCATTAATTCTTAAACCAGCTTTATTAGCGTAACGCCGTACAGATTGGTTCCCGTTTATCAAACTACATCTCGTGTCATCCAAGAGGACCGTAACCTGAGTGCTCACTACCGTTACGAACCACAGACCTCAACACTGTTTCAGTCCGGGATGAAACATTTCATAACTCCACCCACTCACGTTTTGTGATACGTGCAAAAGGCATCGAGAAATTGTTACGGAGCTCGAGGGCGCAATGTATTTACGCTCATAGGCTTGAGAATTTCGATCAAGTTTTAGCAATACAGTGTGGGATGTCATTATATGAAGAGACTGTTCTATTGTATTTATTACAGTTGCACAGTGTACACAGACGAACTTGAGTTTGAAGAATTGAAGTACCAACAATATTACTGCTTGCAACACCCACACCACTTTTCTTTATAGTCAAAGTCAAAGTCACATTGCGACTGACGGTCAGTCAGTCAGTCAATCAGTCAGTGATTCTTGGTGTCGAGCCCCTACCGTTTGACAGTTACGGTCTCGCTTCTGTGGGGCGCCCTCTCTGACGAGAAGACGGGTCTGTCTTTTGTATATGCTGCTGGCCCTTGCCAGTGCAGTCTTCCCTGGGTCCGAGTCCCTTGAGACTTTCCTTTTCGCCGCCTCCTACGATTCACAAGGTCACGGTGGAGGTATTCTACCCCGCCTCCACACGGGGTTGTCTCTTCTTTATATCCAAGTCCAAGTCACATTGCGACTGACGGTCAGTCAGTCTGTCTTTCTATCTTGGTGTCGAGCCCCGGCTGGGGATCATGACCAGATTTCTTTTTGTTTTTTTGTTTTTCCTTATATGAAAGTTACTGTCCTGTCCATTTGGGGCGCCCTCTCTGAGGAGAGGACGCGTCTGTCATTTGTCAGTCATAGTCCGTATTAGTGAATCCATTGTCAGTATTTACATATATTTACAAATTTAATCTCAATTCGCCATATCCTACTCATTACTTACTTTTCTCTGTGTCTTATAACAATAAACTACGGAAAGGCGAGGAACCATCACTGAACCGCTACGTAGCAACGAACTCATATACCTCATTCATTTCCACAGGGTTGGAAGGCTGCAGAATTCCAGTCCCGGTGGAATAAACGCGGGAAATTTTCCACCCGTCCCTTGACCACATCTGTAACTCCGTTGTTTCTATTCGCTGCTGAGGGCAGCGCCACAGCGCATGCGCAACTACCGCACGGCTACATTACCTTTAGGGGCATAATGTATGGGACGTAAGATGTTATGGTGAAGGGCGAAGTAACAGGCTCCCGCACTCAGCGAATGGGTCAGTTCTTTCCCTCTCTTCCATGACATGAGCGTCACCAGCGCCAGCAGTTCCTCTCACCAACTGAAGTGTTCAACTTCATTTCATTGAAGGTCTAATCAACCTGTATGTCCCACACTTCGTCTGAAACCTGTTAAGGATATTTTTGTATTTGCTGTCTTTCATCCGGGGGCACGCGGTGGGGTAGTTGGTTGAGGATAGCCTCTACCTGTAGACAAACACGGAAAAACGCACACAAACATCCATGCCCTGAGTGGGATTCGAACCCACGATCCCGGCTTCCCAGCGAGCGAAGACAGTGCATGCCTTAGACCGCTCGGCTGCCGTGAACGGTTACACAGATATTTTATCTCTGCCAAAAATGTCATCGGAATACAGAAGAAATGTGTGTGGGTTTGCTATAGTAACGCATTTTACTTGGCTGAAGATCCCCTTGTGCTGCAACTTTGAATCCAGTTGGTAGTGATGAGACAGTCGTGCATTAAGTGGAAGAATACAAGTGCACGGCCGCCATTACCGACTGCTGTTAAGTTAAACGCTCGCAATAAAAGGAGCAGAGGAATGACACTCACCCCCGCCAGTAAGGCGATCTCGCCGGAGTGCAGCAATGATTCGAGGAAATAGGGGATTAGACGTGAAGCAGCGCAAATTTCGCTTCATTGGCAGCCGAAATTAACGTGACGTTCTTAGCCTGGAGCTGTAGGTCGCGCTAAATCGAATGCAGAGTTCGTTTATTGTTTGGAATTTTCTAAAAACCGAAGACATAAATATTATTTTAACTCGCTTTCTTATTTTATTTATTTCTGTCATGTATTTATTCCGGTCTTTTTCCATTACTGCTTCATCTACAGAGGTTCTGAATCGTTTAAAATAGCGCAAAGCTGAATTTAAAGTGGCGCATAGATTGAGTAACGGTGAGTGCATAGAATTGTAGGAGGAAATATGTTAATGAAGATTGCCGTCTTCTGGGTTATGGCGTTGTGTAGATATTGTGTGAACCGACGTTTCGGAGGAAGGTGTCGCCTCAATCTTCAGGGTAGAAAATCCGCGAGCTAGGAACCAACGTGAGTAGATCTGCCATCTGTTCGCTCTGGTTCCTCGCTTGTGGATTTTCTATCATGAAGATGGAGGCGATACATTCCTCCGATACGTCGGTTCACACTACACTACTTCACTATGCTACAAGCCGGAAGGCCGTGGGATCAAATCCCGATGAGGTCATTGGATATTTTCAATTTACCTAATCCTTCAGGCGGCATTATGGCCCTGGAGTCGACTCAGCCTCTAACAGAAATGAGTACCAGGAATCTTCCTGAGGGGTTAAAGGGCGGCCGACTCGTAAAGCTGACAACCTTACCGCCATCTTTGAGCCAATTGTCTAGAAAATGTGGGATCCTCAACATCCCTATGGGCCTCCATGGCCTGTTACATGGATAGCTTTACTTTACTTACTTAGTGGGGTGAGGCAGTCCACTTTGTACTGAGGCCACTACTGCCCTATTGTACTAGCCCCGGATGTTAGATGTTAGTGATTGTGGAGCAGTTGGTGGAATGAGGATTCGCAGGGGAAACCGAAGTACTCGAAGAGAACGTGCCCCAGAGCCACTTTGTCCACCACAAATCCCACCTGACTTCACTTGGGATCGAAACCGGCCCGCCGCCGTGGGAAGCCAGCGGCTAACCGCTTGAGCCATGGCTCGGCGCTACTGCTGTACTTCCTCATGTGACGCGCTTGAGTCTGCTTTCTTATTCCCTTGTAGCACTAAGGACTTGTCCTTGAAGTATCTTATATTTACATCCTCAAGACCCATGTAAAGACAAAGCTGTGGACTTGTATTCGGGAGATGCTGGCTTCGAATTTCGACTGGGTCAAAGGAAATAATGAGCTTTTCGCTCTTTCACCCAGTCCCTTGAGGCAAATGACCGCACAGTACCTCGTTCAGGCCACGACCACTTCCTTCTGCCATCTACCACTGTATTGTTTCAGTACTGAAAGCATTGTTAAATAACCCACACGAGTCTTATGCTGGATCTATCGTGGGGTGTTAATGTCAGCTGAAGATCAGGATGAGCATGCCAGTAATGTTGTGTGTGGATGTAAAGCGTCATCTCTTACTGAGTGCGCTACAGCGTGCTCAGAAAATGTCTGGACCTAAGAAGAATGCTTTAAGTGAACAATTTAGGATAAAGATCTTCGTGATTCATAGAGGTGAACTTGTGTTGCTAGGACATTGAATTGTTGCGGGTTACAATGGGCTGAACGTGTGGCTGGGGGTGTTGCAGATAAGGACTACATGCAGAATTTTGGTGCCGAAACATCTTGGAGGAATTCCACTTGGATTCCCAAGGACTTTGGAGGATAAAAGTAAGATGGATCCTAGGGAGATAGATTGTGAGGCCAGGGGGACGCATGCGTAGTCGACACCCACAACTGATAACTCTAGGGCGGCCTATAAACATGTTCTTAAAAGGCTGAAAAGTAAGTTTATAATCACATTTTCCGGTTGCGCTGCCTTGATAAAAAAAAATCTAGGACTGGCTGCACCTTCCCCTTGGAAATTCCATGGTAGAGCCCGTGGTGTTTGAAACCATCTGAGGATAATTTTAATGCTGGCGGTGTTGAACCTTCTGGTTTTCCTACCACAGTGTTGGTAAGGTCTCCTTGAAAAAACCCTACCACAGCAATTAATAGTTAAAAATACGTACCCACAATTTTCAGCAATAATTGTGAGCATCCATTTATACAATGTGTGACGTAACAGAAATATGTAAACAACATAGAAAGTAGTCAAGATCCCTTCTTCGGCTTCCCGACTAGCCACCAACGGTTTCCATAACCTCAATGGGGAGCTGGAAACTAATTTATAAAAACAATACTAATGAATATATTTTCGTTATCCGTTGTGTTTGATAGGAAAATATTCTGCCCAGAAGTCTGCTGATGAAGCTGATTACTCTTCCATATTCACGAGATTTATGACGAGCCATTTGTCTTGTTTAACGTGTGCAAGTATCTTTAACGTCAGAACAACCCTCTGTTGTAATTCATCGCAGATCCAACATCAACGTGTAGTTGCTTGTTGACTCTACGGTAATAGCGCTGCCATCTGATGATAAAACATTTGACAGTAGTTCTTTGTTTCTCGTTTAGGTGTCACTCATGTCCAGGATTGTGCCATCTCCTGACTGGTTTATTGGAATCGACAGTTTCGATCTGTGTGTGAATGGCAACTGGCTGGACAGCATCACAATCGAGGTGGGTGAGAAGGCATTTATTTTTTGTTTAATGCTATAAATCTGTTAGTACCAGGCACCTTCCATGTGTCAGTGGTTAGGCCTATACCAGTTCTTGTATATCACTCTGTTCTGAAGATGGAGGGAGGACGTTCTTCTGAAACGTCTACCAAACTATACATGTATAACCCGAAGACAGCTCTCATCACAGCCAAAGACGTAGTCTCGTGCCTTTCAGAAAACGCGCGAACGTTAGGAAGTAATTAGCTGAAGTTTGCTCCCACCTGAATGTGTGTGTGTGTGTGTGTGTGTGTGTGTGTGTATATATATATATATATATATATATATATATATATATAGCAGGTCAGTCCACAAGAAAGAAAGAAAGAAAGAAATGTCTGAAGTATTTTAACACAGATGGCATTTAACACTAACAAGTCAAAATTACATTCACGAAGAAATTAAGACTAGATTAATTTCGAGAAATGCTTACTGCTGTTCAGTTGAAAATGTCTTCTTCTCATCTGCTGGCTAAAAACGTGAAGGTTATAATACATCTACACTCTATATCTACCTATTCCTGTTGCTCCCACTTGGAGCACAGGGCATCTGTGAACAGCTTCGTTTCACTTCAGTTTTTTAATCTTAGACAGTCGGTAGGACTCCTTGGACGGGGTAGAAGTCCGATGCAAGGCCACTACATGCACAAACACAGAAAGAACGCAGACAAATATCCATGACTTGAGTGGGATTCTAACCCACGATCCCAGTGTTCCAGCGGGGGAAAACATTTCATGCCTCAGGCGGCGCGGCCACAATGGTCGGCTATATAGTCCTACTCAGAACTATAGTTTTCCTTGTTTAGCACTGTATGAAACTGGTCTCCCACATTGGGGGAAGAAAACAGACCGAGGGTGTTTCTAAAACAGGGTGCACGGGAGAATACTTGGAACAGAGAGGCAGGAAGCAACAGGAGGTTAGTGAATATTTCATGAGGACCCTCACAATACACGTATATACTTCTTGTCGATATCATTGCCGTGTCCAAATCAAGGAGAGTTATACTCGTATGGTCAGGGCACGGGAAGGAAGAGAATGCATACAAAATTCAGGTCGGACAAGCTGAAAGAAAAATTCAGTTTGGAAGCCCTGTGCCTATGCTGCAAGAAAATATTAAAATAGATATTAAATAAATAGGTGAGAGGTAGTGGACTAGATTGATCTGGCTCAGGATAGGGGCCAGTGGAGGGTACTTTTGAACACAGCTTTTTAATTTTCGGTTTCCATAAAATGCAGGGAATATCTTTGCTACCTGAGCAACTGCTAGCTTCTCAAGAAGGACGTGACCCCACGGAGTTGGTTAATTAGTTCCGTCCTTACTCTGAGGCATGTATCACTGTCGGACGGACACAATGTCCTCATTTTGCTGATTTTATAGAGAAAAGTTTATAAAACGTAATATTGTCATGTTTGCGGGGTTTCCATGGCGAATAATAATGAGTTCTGGATTAGATGATTGGATTTACTGGCACTTCTTTACAATTACAATCAATTATGACAGCTGATAGTCAATGACTCGCTCCATTATTTTTTTTAATGCTAGTGGGGTCCCTTGTACTGCGGCCACTTCTGACCTATTGTACCGGCCCCAGATGATAGGTGAGAGTGATTGTGGAGCAATTGGTGGAATGAAGATTGGCAGGGGAAACCGAAGTACTCGGAGAAAACTGCACCAGCGCCACTTTGTCCACCACAAATTCCACATGACCGGACCCGGGATCGAACCCGGGCCGCCGCGGTGGGAAGCCAGCGACTAACCGCTTAAGCTATGGCGCGGCCCGCTCCATTCCTTACTGGACTACGAGTATCTTCTCTTCCACCGTGACGTATTACAAAAGAAGAATTGCTTCCAGCTGAACTGACTGAAGAATATGACTCACCTACGAACGAACACGAGCTCTACACTTTCTGCTCTGCTGAGCGTTCTCACGTGTCCTCCTTTTTATAACTTTGGGAGAACCGAATAGAGACCACCACCTCGAACAGTTAGTTCACACTCCCTTTATTAATACTCGTTGCCACAAGAATCTGTGTTTGAGGGACTTGTTGCCTATGATCGTAAGTTCCACTGTTGACTGCGTAACCTTGAGAATGTGTTTACCGCAACGTTGTCTAGCAATGGTTTATTCCGGCTTTCAGGCGTCATGGCACACTCGTTGTAACGGAAAGGTGTTTTAACAAGCCGTTGTCTAGCAATGGATTTTTCCTTCACAATATCTTTCCACGCAGTAGATGGTAAGTACAGAAACATACATACAGCCCTTTAGAAGAATACGCACTCAATATACTATTATACGGAGAATTCAAGGCGGATTGAAAATCTCATTATTTCATTCTACCTGACCAACAATCCGTAATGATTTTGAAATGGAATAGTATAATGCCTTCCAGGAAGGTAAGTTCGAAAAGAGCTATGTTCTTGTACAGTGTTCAGTTGAGAACAAAGATGAAGTACTCACTACAACAAACTTGTTTTGAATACAGCTTACATTTTTAGCCTCGCATCCAATATCCCATTCGCACTCCAACATTATTTCTATTTGAATTCACACTGGACTAAACCCGAGAACACAGACTGCCTTACACTCACGGGAAGAACTGAACAGCCCCAACTCGCATCTGTGCACGATTGCTACAAGTCTCTCAAGATAAATTATTCGGTGAGTGTGCTCAAGGTTCCCCGACGCCACATTGCGTTAAGTTGCACCTGGAAAAGCAGAATCTTTAGGTACAACGTAATAAAAGAAGCTTGTGTTTATCATTAATATTAGAGGCTGCTGAAGAAGTGTCTTTATGGGTTGGAGGATAACACTGAAAAGGATTTTAAAGAAATGGAATCTGGGAATAAGGAATAGATTAGGCCGGCTCAGGATAGGGCACAGTGATGGGCTGTTGTGAACACTGTAATAGACATTTGAGATCCAGAAAAGGCAGGAAATACCTGTTTACTTCTTACTTATGTTCAATTTTCCTCTCAGTAGCTCAGACAATATAGTGTAGATGATTATTGAATTGAAGAGGACACAGAAGGAAGCTGTCGAGGCCTTCTTTATGTTCTACCCCGTCATTGTCCCAGAGCAGTGTTGTCCAACGTTCTTATGTACTCGGGCACAATTCACTGATGCCTATGGAGGTGCGGGCGCCACCACACACTACTACTACTAGTACTTCTACTACTACTACTACTACTACTACTACTACTACTAATAATAATAATAATAATAATAATAATAATAAACAATAATAATAAAGTTTTTCGAAAATATTTAACAGTACTCAGACGTTCAAAAATGTCTCTTGTCTTACAATTTGAATTAATATTAAAAATCGGCTCAATTACGTGTGGTTACGGAGGGCGCCATAAAAATATAACACGGGCACCGCGTTGGACAGGGCTGTCCTAGAGTATTAGAGGGAACCCACGCAAGAACCTATAAGACTATTTTGTGTTCCGGCCGAAATTCGAAATGGGCATCTTCCGAACACAAGCCAGAAGAGTTATCCCTTGAATAAACTTGCTGTTCAGTGCGGGAATATCTCGAGTTCCTGAATGGCTCTTGGCTTCCCCAGAAAGTCTCTGGTCCATGGAGTTATTTAATAGAATAATACCATGAAGAAACAGTGAAATGTGTGGAAGGTATGAAACATTCTGCCCTTTCATAGCAGGTCCGGTGGGCTGCAGCTGTAGGAACCGTGTTTGGTGGAACCCGTTACGTCCTCACAGGATTGGGCGACATTCACACATTGCTGCGGCACACGCAACCTTCAGCTGCATACGTTGTGTCCCATTCAGCATCTGCATATAACTCTTTCATTTGAAGAAAATTAACAATGCAACAGTGCTTACTAACTGAGCACTGTTGAAACCGTTACCCCAGTCCCCTGCTAAGACCTCAATATCCTATTGAATTACAAGAAACTTACATCCATGCCGATCATAGTAGCCGCGCGGTCTAAGGCATGAAATGTCTTCTCCCGCTCGAACACCAGGATCGTGGGTTCGAATCCCACCCAAAGCATGAATGTTTGCGTTTATTCTGTGTTTGTTTTGTAGGAAGCGGCCTTGCGACTGGCTGATTCCTCCCCCAAGAAGTCTTGCCGACTAAGATTAATAAACTGAAGTGAAACGAAATGCTACATGGATGCCCTATGCTCCGAGTTGGAGCTACAGGAACAAAGATAGATAGAGCAAACATTTCGGACTTGAGGTGGACAGAGTGACAATCAGCAGATTTTCCTCCGAACACTACCGTTTTCCCGTGCCAATCATCAGCCCATAATCCGTTCATGCTCCTCTGTCGCCCAGTGTCAATGCAACGGACCCGCCTGAGTCCGAGGGACCAAGGGGCTAAGTTTCCGTCCTCCTGATTATGGGTGCTCGAACCCGAATCTTAGTAAGGAATTACGAATACCCTGAGGTTTATTTGTGGTTTTACTGAGTCCCTGTAGGCTAATTCCGAGATTGTCCCTTGAAATTGGTCACGATATCATCTCCCGCAGAAGTTGGAAGTCTACCAGATTGCTCCTTTAAATTTGCCACGACATCTTTCGCAGACGTTTGAAATTTACAAAATACAATCCTCTCACAACATTGGACGCTAAACAACCGTCGCGGTCGATACAAAATCGTTAATAATTTATTACTCATTTGTCGTGCTTGAACGAAGTTCAGTTGCTCCAGCAGTTCATTCACCTGCTTTTCTGCTGTTAGCGTGCATATACGGCTGCGGATGGCTGCATGAGACTACGCCATTCCTTCATAAGCGTCACGTTCATACAGGCCTGTGTGTAATGGAGACGCATGTTGCAGGTGGATCCCGTGGATGCTGGAACAGACAATGGATTCACATTCACAGCACCCAACTGGCCGACGGAACCGCAGGGGCTGATCTACAGAGTGACAAGCCACTACCCTGCACACCCTGCCAGTTCATTCTACTACCCCTACATGAAGCGACTACCCCCCATCGCCACCTTTCAGTTTATCAAGGTGAGAGTTTGGTTATAGTTGGGAATGTGTATGGGGTGAGTTCTGTATGATTTATTTCCACGAAACACTGCGCATGTGTCCCCTCTACAAGGTCATTATCTCTCGTTTTCCCTTATAAATATGTTGCTTCATTCTATTTAGTCTTCTTTTTGTCATAAATTTCACTAAGTTACAGGCATGTGACTGAGGTTTACTGCCTCGAGGCGAGTATAAAGTAACGTAGCTAATTAAACACATAATCAAATTACGTTTTAAGCAATACGAATTTATGAACATAATAAAAACTTTGGCTCATATACGACTAATTATTTAGGGACACGGTCTACATGAAGTTCTAAAATTTAATCAGAATTCGAGAAATTTGTCATTTTGTGTTTTGGGGTCCACCTGAAGGACCACATTTTTTGGGACTGAAATATTCACGTTCACCGGGTACCGACCTGTGAATGCCGAATATGAATACAGCTGAAGAAAGCAGTCTTCTGGGATTTGGCACCGTGTATATGTGGTGTTAACCGACGTTTTGGAGGAACGTATCGCTTCCATCTTCAGGGTAGAAGGAGAAATATAAGAAATCCGCAGGCGAAGAGACCGTGAGAACCGGTACAAGCAGTCGGTTAACACCACATATACACGGTACCAAATCCCAGAAGACTGCTTTCTTCATAGTCACCGCCGTGAAAGCCTCAAATCTTACATGAATTCAGCTCTTCGGGCCACTCAGGTGCTAACGAGGCGCACATCCATCCATCCATACATACATACATACACGTACATACATACACGTACATACATGCACACATACATACATACACGTACATACACGCACACATCCATACATACATACATACATACATACATACACACACGTACATACACGCACACATACATACATACGTACATACACGCACGCATACATACATTCATACATACATACATACATACATACATACAGACGACAGCCCAAACCCTCGTTTCGTATTCGAGCGGGGCTGAAAATCTATAAATCCGTCAAAACCTCGAAATCGATTTTCTCATCACCGCAGTGCTTTATTTCTGTGTGTTTATGCTTGTGTGCGCGTGTACACACTAAGTGTATGAGGAATGAAAAAGAAAATGTTTGTATTGTGCACAGCATTGCCATATGAAAAAACCATAATCTAGTAATATTAGAATTGTTTTATAACACTCGTTCCGACGTAGTAATTATCGGGAGAAATTCAGTGACAACTGATCTCTGATTCTGTACTTTGCTGTGTCGCTAGTAGGATTGGCTGCGGGATCGTGGTTTTTTGTCTGCTATAAATACTACTTACATATGCAAATTGTCAAAGAAAGAATGTACAACTTTCCGTACTTGTTTCATATTTTCCAGCCTTATGATGTCGGTAACTGGTCTTTAAAATGTTAGAAGCNTCTGATTCTGTACTTTGCTGTGTCGCTAGTAGGATTGGCTGCGGGACATATGTTTTTGGACATTATCCATCGTCTTGTCCATTTTCTAAAAACCTTCCTGTTTCGTTTAAAAAACACAGCGTTTCGGAGACTGGATTCTGTCCCCGTCCTCAGTTGGGTCTGATAGAGCTAGTCCCTATTGAGCTAGCCCCTATCTCCGGACGGAGTAGGCCTGTTCCTCCGAAGCGTACCGCATGATATCACAACAGCGAGAGCCATTTTATTTTAAACCGAGGGTGAGGCAAGACTGAGTCCACTTGGTACGCCGTCCGGCCGGCCACAATTGTGCCTGTTGTACCAGTCATGACTGGGAAGCTGTTGGTCTAATGAGAATCTGCGAGGGAAACCGAAATACTCGGAGAAGTCCCGGCTCAGTGTCGCTTTGTCCGCTGCAGATCCCACATTATCTGACCCGGGATCGAACACGGACCGCCATGGTGGGAAGCCGGAGGCTAACCACCTGAGCTATGACATGATCTGAGAGCGTTAGTTCCACCAGAGTAATCGGGTCAGGAATCCCGGACTCCAGGTGAGCACATCCCTCTGCTTTCTGCTTATGCCTGTTCACACAGGCCCTAATAACATCAGCTTCACGTGTATGATGAAGCCTTCTGAATAATTGCTGGTGGCCATTTCAATTGGCACGCATATGCTGTCAGCGACTGGAATAACTAAATCATATTACGAATCGTTCGTTCATGCGTGCGTGCGTGCGTGCGTGCGTGCGTGCTTCATTTGATGCCCTTACACGTGTTTCGCTCCCACAGCGATAAACCACTACACTGCTGGACATTAGCGTTAGCAGCGCCATTTGTCGCACGGCAGAAGTAAGATTGAACCTTATTATTGGCTCCGTCCCCACAGTTCGTACTTAAATTTCATATATTGTTTTACAACACGTTTCGACTTTTTATGGCTATCATCAGGTAAAATATTTATATTCATTCTCTACTTTTCTATTACGTCCCCATACATTAGCCAGTGTTTCGAACGCTTCCGTGGTCTAGTGGTCAGAAGTTCCTGATTATACATCCAGAGGTCCCGGGTTCGATTCCCGGTGCTACCAGATTTTCCGAGAAGTAGTGGGTCTTGAACGGGGTCCACTCAGCCTCATGAGGATAATTTAGGTGATTATTCAAGGAAATAGCGGCTACGGTCTATAAAACCGAGATTAACGGTCGTAGACCACGCGACACCCTCTGTCCGCTAAAGTTGGCATTAACTTCGCCGACAAGGCGCGGTCGCTCGGTCGGTATAGTTCGCTTGCGGACTACAGACCACGGATTTTCTGTGTTTAGCCAATGTTTACATTTGGGGAGATCATACGTGTTAATGTCAACGTATAAACTGATAAACTGTATGACAATCTTTAAATTAAAATATTATATATTAATACGAGTATTAAAACATTTATTTTGTGGTCGTTTGCTGTTCTTAAATAATGTTGAATTCTTGGTCAGAATTTATTTCTTCCGCGTCAGCCTATAAAATTATGTGCTAAATTATTAAAATACGAGTATTACGTGTAAATGGATTATATTGCATTTGGTGTTATTAAAGTAATGTTTTTCTGATCACAACAGAAGTTGTCTTTTACGTGATCTTGTGTTGGTTTGTAGGTTACATGTTCCACTTGATATGTGTGCGTTCTGCGTGTTTCATTCTGTTTCCTCTTGTAGTTTGATCTTGTTGCGGAAGATGTCGCATCCGGACGAGTATCTGTGTAAAACACGTGTGACGTCCCCAGATGTAAACATTTGCACCAGCAGGAGAAAATAACAAAAAAGTAGAGAGTGTAAATATTTTACATGACGATGGTCATAAGGAGCCTGAAAATGTTTCAAAATTTCTAACTATATGCAACTGAGCCCTTCTTGAGAAGCCTCCGCTTGTAGAGCCACTCAAGAATTTCCCAAAATTTGATGGAACCCGAAGGTTTATTACGGTGTTCACAAGAGCCCTCCACTTATCCCTGTCCTCAGCCAGATCATTCCAGTCCGTACCACCCCATCTTATTTCTCTAAGATCCATCTCAATATGATCCTCCTACCTATTTCTCGGTCTTCCTAGTGGCCTCTTTCCTTTTGGCTTTCTCACCAGAGCCCTATGTACATCTCCTCATCTCCCCATATTGTAAAATAATATATGAAAATTATACACGAATTTTGATGACGGGGCCAATAATAAATTGTTCATACACAATATTTTACTGAAGTACAGTATTCCTATGATCGAACCTATAATACAATTGTTCTGTATTTTCGGCCCACATCAGTCCCTGAGGACTGGAATAAAATCACGTGTAAGGCTGTCAGACTTGCATTACCTTTGTCCCATAGCCGGTTCATTCACTTCTGTAACATTCACAAAACTTACAGAGCGTCTCGGGCTTTTTGATTTGTCTCATTTTCAGATCCTTGTTTGTGTCTGTGTGTCCTGGTGATGGTGATTAACTGAGAGCTAGGAATACTAACGGGCGATAAACTGTTTTCTTACTGGTGATTTGTATAATCGTCTTTTATTATTCATAATAACTGAATTATTCACTCCAACTGGAATTATATATAGGAAATGCAGATTTTCCACAAACAAACAGATATGTTCCAGGGCTGATATATTCGCAGTAGGATCAGTTTTAATAACGAGGATTCCGGGACAGAACTCATGAAATTTACTTTTCTGTTCTGCGACTTCAAATCCTACAAATCGTGTGATCCTAATGCCACGGTTTGGTAATGCAAATTTATAATCTAGCATTGACATGCAGTTTGGCCCACGGCTTAACATGCTTTAGTTGTGAGCGTATAATCAAGCAGTCAAAACATATTCGAGCCAGAAGTTTTGTATTGCCTGAAACTGTAAATACTCAACAGATTATTATTATTATTATTATTATTATTATTATTATTAGTNGCGGTGGCGGTAGTAGGAATAAGGGAGGCCAAGGCCCGACATCGGGCTGTTGCGCCATAGAAGTAGTAGTAGTAAGTTAGTTTTATGAAAAGCTTATTGCTAAATTACAGATCGTTTCTACATTAAATTTACCAGATGTACCTCAAAATTTCACATCAGATTTATTGTTCACTTGTGTGTAAACATCATATTAGTTTTAAATACTTTTATGATTTATGACGGAACAAAATTTTCACGTCCCTGAATGCGGTAATTCATTAATTATTGTCATGAAACCGCAAGCTAAGTGTACGTGTATTTTACACTGCCGTCCTGTTTCAAATTTCAATATTTTTCGCGAGGGTCAGTCAGTTGGTTCAAATATTAAAAAGGACATACACAAACACACACACACACACACTGACAGCATGATGCTCTCAGAAGCTAAATTTTTTTCTTAAGGGATATAAGGCAACTTGTTGCTCACATTCATGGCTAAAATGAAATGAAACTTGGCTTAATAAATTATCATTGTTTCACACCTAGTAAAGCAATAAATTACTCCCCTGGCGCCGTTAAAATGAAAGAGCTTCAGAACGGAAATTGCTTCACTGTGTAGCCACTGTGCCTTTTTAAGCCTCATTACTGTCTAC